GGTGGTGGTGGGAACCTCTCCTGCCTCCTCAGCAGCGTTAAGTATGTCTGACTACAGCTTAGGCCTGCTCCCCACTGGCAAGTGGACATCCCCCGAGGGCTCCCGGGCTTCCAGAGGGATGTCTGACTACCAGCTTAGGCCCAATTTCCCAGGGAGCGGGCCTAAGCCAGCAGGTGGTCATCCCCCAAGGGGTCCCAGACTGCAAGAGGTCACAGGCCGGGCTGAGGGACTCCCCGAGTGCACAAATTTTTGTGCACCGGGCCTCTAGTATCAAAATAAAAAGCTTCTGCATATTAAAGGAAACCGTCATCAAAATGAAAAAGAAGACCTTTGTATGGGAGAACATATTTGCCAATGATACATCTGATAAGAGGTTAATTTCCAAAATATGTAAAGTACTCATACAACTCAACAAAAGGAAAACAAACAATCCAATTTAAAAATGGGCAGAAGGCCTGAAGAGGTACTTCTCCAAAGTGGACATACAGAAGTCTAAGAGGCATATGAAAAAATGCTCAAAGTCACTAGTCATCAGAGAGATGCAAATTAAAAATGACAAGGAGGTACCACCTCACACCTGCCAGAATGGCTACCATCGACAAATCAACAAACAACAAATACTGGTGAGGATGTGGAATAAAAGGAACCCTAGTGCACTGTTGGTGGGAATGCAGACTGGTACAACCACTATGGAAAACATTGTGGAATTTCCTCGAAAAAGAAAAAGTGGAACTGCCATTTGACCCAGTGATCCCACTTCTAGGAATATATCCTAAGAAGCCTAAAACAGCAATCAGAAATAATATATGCACCCCTGTGTTCATAGCACCATTATTAACAATAGCTAAAATCTGGAAACAGCCCAAGTGTCCATCAGTAGATGAATGGATAAAAAGGCTGAGGACATTTACACAATGGAATACTATGCAGCTGTAAAAAAGAAGGATCTCTTACCCTTTGAAACAGCATGGGGGGATCTGGAAAGTATTATGCTAAGTGAAATAAGTCAGAGAAAAACAAGTATCACATGATCTCACTTATATATGGAATCCAATGAACAAAATAAACTGATGAACAAAATAGACCCAGAGACATAGAAGCATGCAACAGACTGATGTATTTCAGAGGGAAGGGGGGAGCAGGAAGAAATTAACCAAATAACTTATATGCATATATGTATAACCTATGGACACAGATAATAGTTCAGTGAAGGCCTGGGGAGGGGGCAAGAGTGGCATGGAGGTGGGTGGGAAGGGGAGAGACATCTGTAATACTTTCAACAATAAAGATAATTTTAAAAAGAGAGAAACTTTACAATAGCTAAGATTTGGAATCAGCCTAAGTGCCCATCAGCAGATGAGTGGATTAAAAAACCTTGGCACATCTATGCAATGGAATACTATGCTGCAGTAAAAGGAAGGAATACTAAGTGAAATAAGTCAGTCAGAGAAAGATAAATATCACACGATCTCACTCATTTGTGAACTATAATGAACAACATAAACTGATGAACAAAAACAGATCTAGAGACAGAGAAGCATTGATCAGATGCTCAAACCTCAGAGGTAAGGTAGGGGAGGGTGGGGCTAAGGAGGAGAGATCAACCAAAGGATTTGTATGTATGCATATAAGCATAAGCGATGGATGCAGACAACAGGGGGTGAGGGTGAGGGCAAGAAGGGGGCGGGGATGAGGGGACAATGGGGGGTAAAGACACATTTGTAATACCTTAATCAATAAAAAATTTTAAAAAAGAGAGAAACTAAAGAGAAACCATAATACTAATTAGTTAACTTTTGTTTAGTTGAAAGATTGGCAAGAATCAGAGGTTGGGACCCGGTAATAGACAAGCAAGCATTCTTTCCTTCTCCTCTGACCTTTTAAAGTACAATGCAGGTAGAAAATCCTCTTTAGAAAATAAACCATAGAGAAATACATTGGTATTTATGAATAAATATGCTAATTTCCATTTCACAAATGTTTTCATTAACACCTAGCAAGGTGAGAATTACTTCGATTTAATCAATGAGGAACTAATGTTTAGAAGTAAAAACGATGGATTGCTTAAGGTAAAATAGCCAGTAAATATTATACTGGGGACTCCAGTCCTGGTCTTGTAACAGTCACAGATGCATTTTCTTTCCTTTGTGTTCTGTTCTGTCCTGTAAATTATTCCCCATCCCCCCAACCCTCGGACATAGCACATATACACAGAAAGCCCCATGAAGCCCACCTTTCATTGTCCATCTCCCTGTCTATGTTTGCTTCAGCAATGGATTTTCAATAGTACATTCATACAATAAATTTGATCCTATGATATTTATCCTTATTATAAAAAGGATCAAAAGACCCAATTCCTTCCATATTGCCTTCAGGGATAGTTGTATTGTTCACTTGCCATGTACGAACTGGACAAGGATAAACACTTAACACGCCACATATTACGGAGCTGTTTGTGTTCCTCTTTTCATACTTTATCGCCAGTGTGACAAAAGTGAAGGGGGAGAAAGAAGGGCTTTGGGGAACTGTCATCATTAGCTTCTTGTTAGGCCATCTTTGCAGAACATTTATTATTTTAATATCCATGCAATGGAAAGATAAGCTTTATGAGCAAAACTTGGCAGTCACTGAAAGGAAAAACAAAACAAAAACTGTAGAACTGTAAGATCGTGTGTGGTTATCTACAAGTGAAAAAAAGGGCATTCATGGATACATAGCAACTAGTGATCTCAATTCTCTAGAAAGAACACTAGAATGAAATCTAATGGCCTCGCTGAGCAACCAAAATGTGGGTGTTGAAGTCTATAAACTAGCGCTCATGCAGCACTCTGCACTCCTCAGGTACTGCACTACTCAGTCATTTTGACATTACTTACACATTATTCTTAGATTTCTGAGTCAAGGTCTGATGCAGTTAAATAGGACAGAGGGAGAAGGAACAGTGCTGGGTAAAACAACACATTAGAAAATGCCCCTTCTCCAATAAATAAATGAATAGATAAATACAATTAATATGGGCAAGAGGTAAGTACAGTTGATGCTTGAACACAGTGCGTATAAACTGCATGGGTCCACTCACCTGCAGATATTTTTCAATAGCCCTGCAGGATTCACACCTACATTCTTCAAGGGTCGACTGGCCATTGAGAACACCTGTATGTGAAGGGCTGGCTTAAGGTTTACGCAGATTTTCAACTGCATGGGTGGTTGGCACATCTAATCCCTGTGTTCTCCAAGGGTTAACTGAATATAATATTAAAATTAACTGTACAATTTCATATGAGCATTTTCATTGTTTTCCAGTGTCCATTGCTGCCATTCTGTTTTCATTCAGAAACAAAAAAGTGCAATTTAAGTCAATAATTCAATATTTTTAAGATATCATATTGGCATTAATTTTATGATTGATGGTACTAGGTACTGATAAGACTAAGGGGAAAGTGGATGCTCTTATAATGCTGATGGAAGTAATGCATTAAAATCTTACATCTGACACTTTTTTTTCTTCAGATCATTTCTCTGCATTTAGTGTAAGGATGTTAATCTCATTAATTTTTTCTTACAATGTAAAACACTGGAAATGCTTGCATATCTACTAATGGGAGAACGGGTGTGTCAATTATGGCATGTCTATACTATGAGATACTATTCATTAAAAATGAGGTCTATTTGTATGTATTGACTTAGGAAGCCAGCAGTATATCAAATTAAGAAAAAGACACTTCAGAAAAACATGGAATTATATCATTGTTATGTTTTGTAAAACCTTACATGCATACTTAACTCCCACCTCTAGGACCACTTTGTGATTTTTCTAGCTGTTGTTTCCACACAGCACAATTAAATTCCTTCATCCAAATGGCTTAATCTTCTGAAAGTTAGGGAAGCATTTTCACTGTGAATTTCACTGAGGAAGAGGGTGTCCTGGTTGTGTATCTGGGATCTTGCTTTCCCAAATGGTCACTGTCTTTGTAGTATGTATAAACATCACCTTGATTCCTCCAGTGAATTATGACTTTTTCACCCACTCTCAAATGATCAAGGGAGAATTACATCTTCCTCAAGTCTTCCAATGACTATTTGCTCACTCATAGTACTAAAATGAATGAAGAAAGCTAGAAAGACTGTGTATAAAATGAAGAGCCGTTATGAAGAGAATTAGTGATGGGTGCTTATTAAGGGTTATGTTAGGACTACCTAGAAGAACTATTTTAGGTCAACAGCCTGATCATTAACAGACACAGCATCAAGAACTCTTGCTAGTCTAATTACTAGAAACAAGCCATGAAGCTCTGTGTTTGAGTTACTGCAATTTTAATAGACTATCTGTTTGATTCATTGTAGCTATGAGAATTGTCAACAGCCTAAAGCATAGAAATATTAGTTTGCTCCCCCCTTGATCAATAGTCTCATCTCTCCTCTGATCCTGGCCTGCTATAGTTACTGGAAATTATGTATATTATGTAATAAAAGACTCCTATTGATTTTTATTCCCTGAACACATTTACTTTTAACACCTACTATAACAATAACAAATTAGTTTATCCAGCTAGCTGGAGCTAGCAGGCCCTAAAAGATTAGAACATGCTTAACTTGGTTGAGCTAGGAAATATTTGAGCACATAGAAGATGCTGTTGGGTTCAGAAATCTGTTAGGAATATGCAGACATTAGTTTCAAGTGAGGGAGCACACAGGAAGGAGGAGTCCAAAATGGGCAATGAAGTGACTCATTTATTTTGGTTTTGGGACAACTCTCAGGCTATTCCATGAGTTAATAAAAACTAGTAAATAAATATTCTGAATATAAATGTGGAAGTCCAATTTTCCACTTCAGAAGTTGATTTTAAAAACCAAATGGACTTATCAAAATCAAGGTTTTTTGCAAAGAAGATATACTTAGCTACTTCATAATCATTGAAGCCAGAATCCAGGTTCTTTGATCAGTAGGTTGAGTGCCCTATATATGAATTCCATGATATTAGGACTGAAAAGCTTAGCTTAGCTTATGGACAATGTAGTAAACTCCTTTGGACTCTGGGCAAGGCCACCACAGATGGGGGAATTGGGTGCTCGTGTGGCCCTGTCACATCTTTTTCCTCTGGCACTATTTCCACTCTGCCATGTCCTACTTCTCTTCCTCAGCGAGATTGTTTATTTCTGTACAAAGTGTTAGAGGGATGTGGTATTATGCTGAAAGAAAGGCATGGAAAGATGGGATAGAAAAGGAGTGGTTTTGTTGGCCTCGCTAATTGTTCTACTAAGCACCTCTAATATTTTATCAGTTAATTAAAAATGCCTGTCACAGTACCTAGCAAAGCTGATAATGCCTTCTGTCAAGTGTTGAGTAAGTACCAAGCTTACACTAAAAAAATAAAATAAAAAAATCAATCAACCAATCAATCAAACTTGCCTTTCTAGTGATTTTATTTCTGGTAGCAGATAACAGATTAGAAGAGCTTTAATCATAGTAGGCAGGAGAAAAATATGATTTTTAATCTTCATGCAGACTTTTCATTAACTGATCTTTTAGAAAAGTTCACAATGCTATGGCTAGAGAGGAAACAGCAGCTGTGTACTCATGTTCCTCTTGAATATACAAATAACTAACACTTGGGTATATTACAAAGGAACTTACTTTGAGATCCGCTTAGAGATATTATAAGAATGAGGAAGAGAGACAGCATCTTGTGGAGGTCATGTTAATTATCCTATTAAAAAGAAGCAAAACATGTATTCTATGGATTTTAAGAGCAAACAGGAATTAGAAAAGAAAGTGTCTGACTATTTATAGATTAGTAAAATAAAATATGGTTCATCCACACAGATAATTCTTCTGCAACCATTAAAGCTGATCCTAAAAGACGGTTCAGTAGCATCGAAGGGAGTTCTTATCTTATTGGAGAAAATTAGATTACAATGCAACTTTTAAGTAGCACAGTTCCTTTCTAAAAGCACAAGCATTTCTGCACTTTGGAGACTGACATGACATATGACTAAATATTCACTAGACTGTTAACTGTGGAGAGCGGGTGTCACATCAAAAGCAGCATCTTTTTAACATGACTGCATATTCCTATTACATATATCTACCTAAAAATTGGAAAAGCAGCACAAACATATTAAAATACAATTAGAGTAAACATTTGCAATATGACACAGTTATCACTCCAATAGCTTCCATCTTTCTCAGAGCAACAGGTACTGAAAAATGGCTGTTGAATGAAAAAAGATTTGGAATACATCCAAGGGTAGTTCTCTGGATAATAATTTTTTGGTCTGTTATATTTTTAAAAAATATTTTTATTGATTTCAGAGAGCAAGGGAGAGGAAAAGAGAGATAGAAATATCAATAATGAGAGAGAATAATTGATCGGCTGCCTTCTGCATGCCCCCCTCATTGGTGCATGTGCCTGACTGGGATTCAAATAGCGACCTCCTGGTCCATAGATCCATGCTCCACCACTGAGTAATGACTGCCAGGCTTTGTCTGTTATTTTTAAAGCTTTATACAATTGACATGTATTGTTTTTACAGTAAATATGCTAAAACAAAATTCAATTTAAATATTAAATGCCAATGATGTTAACTATGATGTTGCTTATAATGACACATAAAAAAGCAATTAAAACAAAACCTGGAAACTTATCCTTAAATGTCCAATAATAGTGTGGATCATAAGGCAGCCATTAAAGTCATGGCTTACAGAGTGTTTCAAAAGCTTTAAAAAGTGAGAAAATATGGATGGCAAAATGTATACACACAATGTCACTTCAAATAAGTGAAGTACAACTTATTTTCTCTGGCGATGGGATGATAGATAATTTTTACTCTTTAACAAATATCCTGTTTAAAGAACAATATGTAGTAATTTATTTTAAAAACCTCTGAAAGAAAATTGTAAGTAAATCATTTGGGAGCTCTACCATTACAAGGTTTTGCTTTTATTGATTTTAGAGAAGGGGGGAGAAAAGGGGGGAGGGGGGAGAGGGAGAGAGAGAGAGAGAGAGAGAGAGAGAGAGAGAGACATCAATTTGTTGTTCCACTTATTTATTTATTTTTTAACTCGTACAACTTTTATTTTTTAAATTTCTTTATCGATTAATGTATTACATGTGTCCTTATCTCCCCCTTACCCCCCACTCATGCCCTCACCCCCATGTTATCTGTGTCCATTGGTTAGGCTTATATTCATGCATACAAGTCCTTTGGTTGATCTCTCCCCCTTACCCCCACCCTCCCCTACCTTCCCTCTGAGGTTTGATGGTCTGATTGATGTTTCTCTGTCTCTAGATCTGTTTTTGTTCACCAGTTTATGTTGTTCATTATATTCCATAAATGAGTGAGATCATGTGATATTTATCTTTCTCTGACTGGCTTATTTCACTTAGTATAATGCTCTCCAGTTCCATCCATGCTGTTGCAAATGGTAAGAACTCCTTTTTTTACTGCCGCATAGTATTCCATTGTGTAGATGTGCCAAGGTTTTTAATCCACTCATCTGCTGATGGGCACTTGGGCTGTTTCCAGATCTTAGCTATGGTGAATTGTGCTGCTATGAATATAGGGTGCATATAGACTTTTTGATTGGTGTTTCTGGTTTCTTGGGATATATTCCTAGAGGTGGGATCACTGGGTCAAATGGGAGTTCCATTTTTAGTTTTTTGAGGAAACTCCATACTGTTCTCCACAGTGGCTGTACCAGTCTGCATTCCCACCAGCAGTGCATGAGGGTTCCTTTTTCTCTGCATCCTCGCCAGCACTTGTCGTTTATTGATTTGTTGATGATAGCCATTCTGACAGGTGTGAGATGGTACTGCATTGTCATTTTGATTTGTATCTCTGGGATGATTAGTGACTTTGAGCATGTTTTCATATGGCCCTTGGCTTTCTGAATATCCTCTTTTGAAAAGTACCTATGTAGGTCCGTTGCCCTTTTTTTGATTGGGTTGTTTATCTTCCTTTTGTTAAGTTATATGAGTTCCCTGTAAATGTTGAATATTAAACCCTTATTGGTGATAAAAGTGGCAAATATGTTCTCCCATGCAGTGGGCTTTCTTATTTATGCATTCATTGGTTGCTTCTTTTAAGTGCCCTGACCAGGGATCAAACCCACAACCTTAGCATATTGGGATGCTTCTCTAACCAACTGAGCTATTTGACTAGGGTGCAAGGTTGTGTTTTAAATTTATTATAGGATATGAAATTTAAGAATAATTAAAACTATTCTAAAAATAAAATTAGGTTCCTTCATTACATTTAATCAAATTGAAAGCTGGTAGATTAATAATTTATACTTTCATTTTTACATTTTAAATAGTAGAAAAAATAATTGGTACATATCCTTGGAAGAGCGCCTTTTTAACATGACTGTACATTTCCAATTATAGATATATCTTCATAAAAATTGGAAAAGCAGCACAAACATATTAAAATACAATTAGAGTAAACATTTGCAATATGACACAGTTATCACTCCAATAGCTTCTATCTTTCTCAGAGCAACACCTAAAATGCTTGGAAAGTAAAAACTTATAAAATTGTATTAGTTATTAAAATAAGACCTTTATTTTTCTTCCTGTAGATGTATTTGCATGTATAATATATTAAAAAATATATTATAATGATTATCTCTGAATAGTAAGATTACCAGTAATCATTAAACTAATTTCTTACTGTGAACAAATGTTAATATGTAATAATTGTTTTTACCTTTACAGGCTATTAAAAAAACAACTTAAGATTTAATCAGTCACTTCCCAAGCAAAAATCAAATCCGACTTGTTTAATGTACGTTTAGGGCATTTCCTGTTCACTTCCCATTCTCCAAAATGACTCCAATAGTTGCTACCTTTTCTTGAAATTTACAACATTCCCTTTTCCCATCTCCATTTCAGCTGGTGCTCTTGCTTCATTAATTAGTTACAATTAATTACAGATACTCCCTCATCCCCCTACCACCAATTCAGCCTCCTCTTTTCCAACTCAAACCCTTCACTTTTGCTCTCATCCCACATATTTTTTTTGCATCCAGCAATTTATCCCTGCAATTATATCCCCTTTCTACTGTATTACCATGTTCTCTCTCCCTACACGATCAATCCCATGAGCATAAACACTCCAATACATCCCATCTTAAGAACATAGGAAAAAACAATATTCTCTTCCAACTTTTGATTAGCTAGCCATCTATTTCTAAGGCCTATTAACTCTTAAAATAATTGTTTAAATAGCCATCCTCATTTCCCCTTTACAATCTCCCCTCCATCCACTCTGGGCCCATCTGCATGACATGTCATATCTGCCACTGTCAGTGTGACCAAGAACTTCCATATTGCTCAAAACAGTGGATACAATTTGTTCTTATCTTATCCATCTCACAGCAGCATTCAACATAACCAGCTGTTACCTTCCACATGGAAGATTCTTCTCTTCGTTTCTGGACCACCACATTCTTCCAGTTTTCCCTTCCTCACTGTTGTTCCCCCGTAGTTCTCTCCTGGGCCTCCGCCCCAGCTTGCCCTATTTATGTGGAAATATGGATGTTCTTGGGCCTTATATTTTCTCTATATTCTCTCCCTATGTGAGTTCCTCTATTCCATGACTCCGAATGCCATCTGTATGCCAAGGATTCTCAAACTTGTCAAATATTCAACTACCCATTTGAGCTGTTCATTTAGATTCCTTATAGGCATCACAGAATTACCACGAGCCCTTGTTTCCATTTCATTCCCTTTACTGTTGCTCCCTGTCCTACCCCAAACATGACAACAAAAATTGCCCTGCTCCTTCTCCAGTCTTCATCTCAACAATTGACACCAAATCTTCCCAGTTGTTTAGGCCAGAAACTTAGAAATCAACCTTGACTTTTCCTTTCCCTCATGATCCATATATAATCCATTAACCAACCTTTTTTTGCTAATGGATTATTAGATAAATCTCCATTGTTTGTGCACTTCTCTCCAACCCCACCATTACCATCCTACTCCAAAACACTATCATCTTTTACTTGAATATCTAAAATAGATACCTGGCTGGTTACCCTTTTCTATTCTTGCCTTCTTACAACCCATTGTCAATATAGCAGCCAAGAGTCATATGTTTAAAACATAAATCTTTCTATGACATCTTCCTCATTAAATCCCTCCAGTGGCTTCCCACCACACTCAGATCCACTTTCATTTTTTGTTGTTAATCCTCATTTGAGGATATTTTGTCCATTGATTTTTAGAGAGAGTGAAAGGGAGGGATGAGGGAGGAAAGAGAGAAAGAGAACGAGACAACAATATGAGAGAGACACATTGATTGGTTGCCTCCTGCAGGTGCCCTGGCCAGGGCAGGGGATCTAACCTGCACCTCAGGTATGTGTCCTTGACTGGGTATCAAACCCAAGAACTTACAGTGCACAGACCGATGCTCTAACCACTGAGAACACCAGCCAGGGCCAGATCCACATTCTTAACCCCAGCCTACCAAGCCTTTGTCCTCCCTATCCCTCCAGCCTCTCTTATAGTAACCCACAACATACATTTCAAAAGACTAGTGAATACAAGTGCTCCAATTCAGGGGTCAGCATAAGTATAAGCTGAAAATTAGGCATTTGAGAACTACATAATTTATGTCTTTTGAAAAAATGACAAATTATAGTAGTCAGTTTACCATCTAAGATTAACTGTTCTGGATTTAA